GAATTCCCCAGCTGGCTGGGGATTTCTGGGAGTTGAAGTCCACAAGTCTTAAAGTTCCCAAGTTTGGACACCCCTGAACTAGATGTATTCTAGCTGCTCTAGGAAGACCCAGGAAGTGAAGCTGATTGTTTTGCCTGCTAAACTGGTTTCGATATATCAGCAGTCCTCGGTGATTTTGCCCCATCCTTTTCTTGTTTTAATTGTTGTCCTTTTTGTACCACCTCCCCCCCCCCACTAACCAGGTGGAAAGTGCAAATGCAGGCTCAAAAAGAGCAGGTAAGAGATCTTTTCTAAAACAGCAGTGGGGCGGAAGGGGTGGACTCCCGTTAAGGCAGTGTTTCCCAACCTTTCAACTTTTAAGATGGGCGGACTTCAACTCCCAGAATTCCCCAGCCAGCATGGAATTCTGGGAGTTGAAGTCCACCCGTCTTAAAAAGTTGCGAGGTTGAAAACCACAAGGTTTTAAGCTCACTTGGGTAAGCACCCTTGTTTGGCTCCAGCTTCTTTCTTAACCTCCATTTTTTCCCCTCCCATCTAGCACGAATATCAGTGGGGCACCTAAACAATCCCTTGGAGGTAAGAGAACCTGCAGAGGATTCTGCGTGGGTAGAGAATTCGCCTCCCTTTCTCCTGAGTCAAATTTTTATGTAGGGTGAGGGCAGTGGTGGGATTCATTTTTTTTTTACTACTGGTTCTGTGGGCATGGCTTCATGGGCATGGCATGGCTTGGTGGGCGTGGCAGGGGAAAAATACTGCAACATCCCCATTCCCTTCCAATCAGTTGGGACTCAGGAGGCAGAGGATAGATGGGGCGAGGCCAGCCACAGGTGGTGTTTACCAGTTCTCTGAACTACTCAAAATTTCTGCTACCGGTTCTCCAGAACTGGTCACAAGCCACTGTATACCATCTCTGGGGGAGGGGCAAACCACGCCATTTCTCTTACCTAAAATGTGCCTTGTTATTTGGTTTTCTCACCCGTGTCTTCTAGTAGCCAGCGAGTGCTGAATGGAGCTTCTTCCCATGATACCACCGGCCCTGACTGTTCTCGGTGAAACGNCCTGTTCTTTAGCTGTTCCCTTCATCTGGCAACTCTGTGCATGCGCACATCGGGAACAGGCTCCAGCTGTTCATCTGCCTCACTGATGTCTGACTTTGAAGGCAGCTGATAACTGGCATATGGCTCTGGCTCCCTCTCTGCTTCCAACTCAGAGCCCTCATCAGAGCCTTCCCCAGACTCCAGGACTCGCCCATGTTCCTCCCCAACCAGGATCCCCACTGTCTGAATCTGCTGCTAACTCTGCTGGCCACTGGCGGGCTGCAACAGTAGGGAGGAAAAAATATGGGGGAAGATTGTACCCCATAATAGCCTGTTTCCCCCCATCCATACACTTATTATTAATTTTTCTTTCCACAAAAATGGTCCCTAAACATGGCCTTTTTCTCAGCCAAGTGGAATTCTTCAGCCCAAGGGGAAAGCTGTCCTCACCCCATTTTTTTTCTTGTGAAGTGGGCAGTATTGAAGTGAGGAAGACAGACTTTGCAGCTAATCTGAACAAGTCTCAATGGTTTCTTTTCTCTTCTAGATTGGCGGTTGCTCCGCGCTCGTGGCTTGGCCTTTTCAGGCGTTCTGTTTCTTCTGGGAATTGCTGTCCTCCTGAGTAAGTGGAAAACGACAATGAGGAGAAAGAGAACAATTTTGGGAGACAGGGAAAATGCCGCCTATGTAGAGTCCTTTCGGTCTGGCTGTTCATAAGAAAGGCTTTTCAGGGGTCGCATTGTTTTATAACGTATGTTTAGGATCAGATTCTTCCCTGGGCTAAATAAACGTCCTTTCTCAGTTAAAGTGTCAAAGTATTTTATGGGAGAGGAAGCATTCATGTCCTTCCTCCCTTTCTTTCCTTCCTAATGAAATGATTATTGTAGGTGTTCGATTTCTGTTTTTCCTTTGCGCTCTCTCTCTCTCTCTCTCCCTTCCATCCCTCCCCCTCTCATTCTCTCTCTCTTCCTTTCTCTCTCCCCCTCTCCCTCTCTTTCCCTCCCTCCCTCTACTCCTCTCTCTATCCTCTGCCCCTCTCCCTATTCCCTCCCCCACCCCTTCCCTATCTCTCCGTTCTCTCCCTCCCTCCCTTTCTCTCCCTCCCTCCCTCTCTATTTACAGTTGTCAACCCAAAGAGAGGACTGCTATTTTTAAAAGTAATTTGATCTGGAAGCCTTTCAGGCTGGCGGCTAGGATGCAAATACTTTAAATAGATTTACACCCACTCCCAAACACCGAGAATTAACCACAGCCACCCCAAGACGTTGAGTTTCCTGAGGTCAAGGACTAATTTTTGTTTAAACACAATGTCCCCTCTCACCAATGTGGAGTAGGAAATTCCACCAGGGGGATTGTGAAATACGTAGCCGCCTCCTTCAAAAGAGGAATCGCTGGGAGCTAAGAACTACTACAGGGAGTTACAACGGTGCTGAGGAAAGTGACTTATGACCGTTGCTCGCACGTACGACCATTGCAGCTTTCCCACGTGATACAAATTCAGGCACTTGGCAGCTGACTCATATTTATGACGGTGCCATGTCCCGCGATCACCTTTCCAACCTTGCAACTAGCCAAGTCAATGGGGGAAGCCAGATTTCCTTAACAACCGTGTTACTAACTTAAGAACAGAAGTGATTCACCAAATAAGTGTGGCAGGAAGGTTTGTCAAATGGGGCGACATTCACTTAACAACTGTCTTGCTTAACAACAGGAATGTTGGGCTCAGCCGTGGTCTGATTACCTGCAGTTGGTACAATGGCCCACTCCTATCTTCTACCATCATTGTCTTCTGGAAGAGAGCCCAGGTCTACCTTGCCCAGTGTCTACCAACCTTAGGCATTGTATGATGCGTGGACTTCAACTCCCAGAATTCTGGCCAGGGAATTCTGGGAGTTGAAGTCCACTTCCCTTAAAGTTGCCAAGGTTGGGAAAGACTGATCTAGTCCAGAGTGTATTGCAACACAGTGGCATTCCTGCTTCCAACTAGATCAGGGGTGTCCAAACTTGGGAACTTTTAAGACTTGTGGACTTCAACTCCCAGAATTCCCCAGCCAGCTGGGGAATTCTGGGAGTTAAGTCCACAAGTCTTAAAGTTCCCAAGTTTGGACACCCCTGATCTAGTTGGAAGCAGGAATGCCACTGT